TTAATTGTGATGATCTTAGCTTTAACACTATTGTACTTGTTAACACGAAATTAAAACACACTGCTTTATTTAAGTCTATAAACCAGCGTCAACTGAATTCTTATTTTTTACATGCATGTACTTTTTTTTTTATTAAACATGTTTTCTACAGAACTGTGGCCAAAATCTTTAGATAAATATGGTCGAATTTATAATAACAGTTAACAGTTGGTAGTCTAACCTAGATCTGATAGAACGATTAATGTCAGGTCTGCTTTGTTGGTATCAATTGATATCTTAACAAATAAACAATGCTTATCACGAGGTTAAGGAAAACTAGTTTTGAACATAACACATTCATTTCTTATTACAAAGTAAATGGTAAAATTTCAGGACAAGGTTCGTGATACATTTAGTTTGTTAATATTAAGGTATACTTGAAATAATCACGCAAGACAACGAAATAAGAAACATTCTTTAGATTTCCAATTTTCTTATAGCAATTTTATTCCAGACTAGCTGTTCCCGTGCGGCTTCATCCGCATGGAATTATTAAAAGTTTATTTTATTGTTTACAATTGTTTAATTCTCAATTAAAAATGTCAAAATTACTATAACTATAATATTCTTGATTACTTAATGTTGGCAGCAAGTAGTTTGTGTCCGTTTCCTGCAAAAAGGTTTTAGTTACCCCCTAAGTTTAACAACGTGAAAATGTCGTAAGTGTAGGCCTTTTTATTAATGAAAGGATTATTCAAAAATATGCTGTGATTACTGACATCCTACGAAGTAGTGTGTGTTTATGCTTTATTATATTAGTATTGATTAATAATACAGTTGGAAAAAAGTGATATTGTCACGTGAGACGCATTTGAAGCCGTCTGTCGACTCTCTACGGAGCGAGACGGTTTTTTACAATGTAACATAAGCTGTGTATGATTAGCTTCGTAAGGAAATAGCTAGCGATAAAAACAAGGTTCCTTTCAAGAAATCCGGCAAACCAGTTTAATGAATTACATGTCTGATAGTAATGTATGCTTCATACTTATCCGTTCAGAGAGCTAATACAGTCTTTGTTACAGAATTTGATGGTTCTATATGGCTGCCTATATCTATATCTCGTTCCACCTCAGTAAGGTTTGGTTAGGTTAGGTGTAAAATATGAAATTTTTATACATTTCATTGAATCGGGTGTGGCCAGTGAGTCTGGTTTAACAAGCCTGTGCCCACCCAAAGATATTTAATCGATCGATATGGCATATATACTAAACTTAGTAGTCGACTTACATGGATAACGATTTCACAACAATTCTAACACGACTCGAAGTTTTTCCTTTGCACAAAAACATTCAGTAATGTTATTTGTGCTCTTTAGGCAAAGATTAACAGTTTTGAAATACCTCAAATTCACTTTAAATGGACATTTCTTATCGTTTTCGGTAATACATGTTTTATAACCTAAAAACATTGTTGCAAAAAATCGTATCTATATATTAGATTACAGATATTAAAACCACGCGAAGTATTCCTACTCTACATTTAATAGTTTTTAATTTGTTTTAAATTGTAACATGTAAATTGTATGGGAGAGTCTGAACTGTTAGGTTCCCACCAAAATCTTTAGTAATTTAAACTATCTTTAAAAACATTTTTATTGTATTGCTACACACAACTAGGTATAACTTTGTACACATATAATTACGTAGTTTCTTATCATGTATCTGGTAGATTTCGCGGCGTTTTCTTAATACTCAATAGTTATGCAGTTTTACAATTTCACCAGACATTGAACTCCGGTTGTTGGCTGTGTAACTAGACGCCGGCGCTCGGACATCGAGCTGCCGAGACACGATACGATCTCTCTTAGTTTATTAGCAAATGTTTTAAATCATAATAAAGTTTAAGTAAATATATCGTGATTTAACAATAAACAATTAATTATAATTACGTTCTTTAGGTACTTAAATGATGAAATTTTGTAGCATAACTAAATTGTTATTGTCACATAAATTCTAACTGTTTGTAAATGCTTTTGGCTACCTACTAAAATCGATGTTCTCACAGCTCGTTTGCCTCCCTTTCATATAAAAAAAATGTTATGACGCTATAACATAATAAACTAACTAAAATGGTACAGACAACTTGTAATTGAGAGTTTACTGTTGTTTAATAATAATAATAAAGCGACTAATGGATAGATAATAAAATAGTAATAATAAACATTTTACGTAATTAATTTTTAACCTTCAAAGTTGTAGTTACTTTTAAAAATATGAAATTAATAAAAATGATGCTCTACATTCTAATTAGTGAGGAGGTATAATTAAATGAAACAATAAATCAGTGCTGGACGTCAGCCACCAACAAAGAACTTGTGAAATGGGAACGCAACAATTACAACCTTGCGGTTTTCTTCGACCTAATCAAATACGAGACGTGTATAAGTTATGGCTCGTTTTCATTTGTTTTTGCTATATGTTAGGAGTAGTTTGAAGGTTAAGAAATTCATAGATCAACAGTGTTTATTGTTATTTTGTCATGAAAGAATATCTGAATTTATGTTTAATCATAGCTTGTTACAAAGCCTTCCAGTTTTCCAACAGTAAAGCTTCCATACATCTCTCTCATAATATCTGAATTCTCTTACACATGTCCACTTCCTCTCAATCCATCCATGTAATATTTTCTAGCATGCTACTGTTTGTTCAAATATTATCCACCTCAGCTCTGTTATTATTAGTAAGAATTAAAAATAAGACAATTTCTTGTAATGATTTCATAGTAGAAATGTGAGGCCATCACAAACGTAATGAAATGTTGACTATAAAATTTGAAAACGTCTTGATTATAAAAATTGTTAGGCAATCATGACCTAGTTTTAAATAAAGAAGCAATCGTTTTCTTTTTTTTTTCAAAATGCCAGATGTTTCGTAATTAAGATTTTAAATTTAAATTTTTTGTAACATGATTTCTTAACTTTTGTTTAATATCGGGTTGAAAGGTTATTATTTCAAAACTACTTTTAAAAAACTTTGAAAATTACAAAGTTTTTTATATTTTTTTAATTCCCACATTTTCCTCATTAAAAACCATTAGTAGTTAGTATATTAAATAAACACAGTGTGTTAATGTCTATTACTTTTACACCGATATCGTTAATTTTCTGACGGAATTAAATCCAGTTTTATATGTCATTTGCATTTTACATCTGTTTGTGTAGTTAACTCTTGACACTTGATTTTGGGCTTTGATCAAACTATCATAGAGTTCAAATTTAACTTTTAATTTGATAACCAAGACTGGTAATAGACTTCTATAATGTTACTAACTGGTTTCAAATTGTTAAAACAGAGGGAGATTTTATAATCAAATAATTTATTTGTGTTACAGTTAAATTCGCTTGAGTACATTGTTAATTTTTTTATTAAAATTGTAGAAAGATCAAAACACGTAGGAAATGTATTCATTTTTATATAATGTTAGAAAGCCTATAGTTTTTGTTTTTATTGTAACACACTTTTAAAATGGTACCGTAAGCTTGCTTTTTTTTGGGCAAGACGACAAAAACTTTTGACATCTATAACCAGTTTTTTTTAACTTAAAGTACAGTTACATACTTTTTATCCTATTCAGGTTAATGGTATCTTGTCATATTTTTAAAATTATATACTTTATTTGAAAATGTCATTTACCTTTATCTGACTATGGTCATTGACTGCAAGGTTTTCTAATTTAAAATTCAATAACTTCTTCAGATATCTTTTTTTAATTTGACTTTAAAGTAAATCAATTTTAAATTTCAACAAATAAATGAATAACGCAAATTGAAATGCATTCTAAAAAGTACTAACAAAACTATAAATAATAAATGTTTGAGGTTATAAAAAGGTTATAATTTGACCCAAAATTATAACCGTTAGTTAAAATTAAATATATAGGAAAACAAAAAAGAGGAAACGGTTTTATCTTTTATCAAAGGAATAAAAAAATATTAATTAATACTTATAACCACCTTCAAGATAACAATAAAATGATACCGTTCCAACAACCTTCGTAAGATGACCTCTCATCAAGAGCACTTTGTGTAAATAGTTCTTTAAGGAAGAATTCAGTTTCATGTTTGGAAAATTAAAAAAAAAAATATGCCAAAAGAAAAATTTGTATGCAAAAAAATAACGGTAAAATATTGAAAATAATAAATAAAGGAAATAAGAAAAGTAATTTGTATTCTGTGTTTGTTATTTTAAGTCCATTATCACAAATATAAGACAACTAACTGTTCCATCTAACTGCAGTTTAAATTGATAATTAACATAACGTTTTTGTTAAAATAAATCTTATTTCTAGGTATAAGACAAATTGCAATAAAGTGAAGAATTCATGTTTAATGTTTGAGTCATAACAAAGTGTTTTATTATTTTAAATATATTGCATTACTGGTTATATTGTTTGAGTGGCTTCTACACATAGTTGACACAAATAACAGTAAATACTACGTCCAGATAAATCATTTTAGTGCAATAATTACCTGTGCTAAAGGTTTTGTTTAACCTGGTACGATTTTAATATTAAACGATAATTATTTGTTTGAACTAAAATCGAATTTAATAACTTTATGGACATGAAATTGTTGATGTTATTTTGTTTAAAAAATCACTCAGCTGTATACTTATAGATTAATAGAAAGCGAGCAATATACTTAAGTCTGTTGAGCAATTATGTTCCCCAGGCAATGTATTACTCTACGTAATAAAAATATTTTTACTATTCATATGGTAAACACATGCTTCATTATTTGAAAACATGATTGTTTTGTAATTTATTAGTTGTTTATGTTTAGTTTAATGATGGAATATGTATTGTTAATTAATGTTGCACAAGATTGTAATAAATAATTTTAGAGCTATGCAAGTCAAGGAGATCAAGAATCTTAGCGCAAAATGTGTTATAAAAATCATAGGAAAGTGAGAAAATAGAATTGATATAAAGATTGTTTGTAATAATGAAAGAAATGTGTTTACCTTTCTTCCGTTTGGGCATAATTCTGACACCAAAGGCATGTTCAGTCACTAGGCACAAGGACAGAGCCAGTAAACAGTATCTCGCACTGCACCCCATGTTGTAACACAATGTTCGCTGGCAGTAGAAGTCGCTATGAAGGCACTGGCGTACCGCGCATTGGTTCGGCGGCGCGACTGTATGGGACGCGGACAATCCGGGCTCGCGTGCGCTGGCGCAGTTTGCGCACCCACTGCGGTATACTACGGCGGCCGTGCACGCTCGGCGAGTACGCGACCAACGACTGAACCGCCCGACTACCCTATATTTTGACTTATAGCAATTTGGCAGTGCGAATTCCACTCGTATATAAAACCTTTCGCCGGCTCGAGGCGGGCGGTCATTGGTCGCGGCTGCGCGGCCGGCGCGAAGGTGAAGGGAGCTGGAAGTGGCGCCCCCCACTACCTGCGGAGGGGGGAGGCATCCAGGGTCGGCAGACACTTTTGCTATCGACGGCCCGCGCGGGCGCTGCCGTGCTCCTTACGCTATAATGTGATTGCGTCACGCACTCCACGCTGCGTGTAATTGCTTACTCTTAATTGATTTAATAAATTATTTCACTTGTAACAATTTCACTGGTTACGGACGATCTAGATAGCACAAACACTTTCTATTCGTTTTTATTATGAACTTATTTTGCCCGTGACTTCGCCCGCACTGAATTAAAAAACTAACTCTGGACTTTCGGTCTATCTATCAGTGACAATTCTGATTTTAAATTTTTTCTCCTGGGTATAACAAACGGGACAATACAAAAAAATAGAGAAATCGGTTTGGCCTTTCACATGTGATACGATTAATCACCAAGGAAAATGACATTCATTTTTATAAACATAAAAGACCATTAGTAATACATATACGCTTGTAATTCATTTATAGCTTCGTGATTTAATAATAAAAAAATACTCGTGCCTCATAACCACCTTACTTTTAAATGTATTGTATAACACATTATTCGAACATATCGGTGAGTTTCATTATTAAGGGCCTGTCGCACTACTGGTTGATAGAGGCTCAGATAGCTTAAAAATGACGTCTCTGTCATAAAAGAACAAAATCCGATATTTCCATCACATGTTTTACATGTTGAATTGTTATCAGACAATTTACAATTTGATGGGACAGGCCCTAAGTATTTCAAACAACCAAGGGCGAATCCAGCTTTGACGCCAGGGGGGTCACATAGTCGTGGTCAAGTCAAGAGGTTGACAAAATATATTTACATATTGACCAAACAGCTCAGGGGGGGGCCTGGCCCCCATGACCCCCTC